GGTAAATGGAGCCTGACTTCCTTTCTCAGGATCCTGGCTTACTCAAATGGACGTATTAGTGGTTATCAGTCCCATACATTGTGTCCAGTCTGTCCCTCCTCCACCTAGTAGGATGGAAGGCACTTATCAATCATTTGTATGGCTGATAATATCCATTCAGGCAAAGTTGGCTTATCTCCTCCCCTGGGATGTGGGTCGGCTCGGCTCATGGGCATTACCTCTGGCCGTAACAGTTTTTAAAAGTTGGTAATATCAGTTGTCCTTTTGTAACAGATCTAGTTGAATGACCACTTCCAGAATTTGATTTGGGCAACAATGCACAGAGAGTTCCATAACTGGCACCTTGGAAGATCTGAAAATATAAATTAATACCACTATACAATAATAATATAATAATAAAAATGAATCCCTATTTAAACCCTTCCTGCAGCTTCAAACAGGAAGTGAGGTCATGAACATTAGAAGTGAAATGTTTCTGTATTTATAAAAGAATAAAAGATTTTGTTGGTTCTGTTCTGTCTCTGCTGACCTGTCTCTGTCTGTCTCCAGCAGGTTTCTTTACCTTCTTGGTTGCATCGATGAGCTGCTCTTTGCTTTTGGTCCTGATGCAGTGAACCATCTCCTCTGAGCTGGAGCTGCTGCATCCTGTGATGTTTGCAATGATCTGGGTGAAGACAACATGACCCACAAGCTGTTAGAGCACAGGCAGCAGGTTCTGGACCAACAGGTTCACAGAGAGGGGTCTGTACCTGGGTGTGGACCAGGGGTTGGTTTGAGGTGTAGGACCCAATTGTTGAGACTCCACTCTGGAAAATGGCACCATGGAAGAGTCCTTTGGCCTGTGGAGAAAGAGTCTGAGCAGAGACAAGCGTCCCGTCAGCAGGTGATCAGAGGACACATGGTGAAGACATGTCCTCCAGGAAAACGTCTTCATACCAGGATGGAGGCACTGATGGCTCCTGCAGACTCTCCTGCGATGGTGACTCTTTGTGGATCGCCACCAAAGGACTCGATGTTTTCCTGCACCCACCTCAGAGCGGCCAGCTGGTCCAACAAACCCCAGTTCCCCCTGGCATGCTGGTCTCCGGTGCTGAGGGACAGAACGGGTTCTGCACAATCATTCAGACCACGTTTTAAAAAGGGGCGGAGCTTTCTTACCTCAGGAATCCCAGAATGCCGAGGCGGTACTGGATGATGACCACCACGATGTTTTCATACGCAGCCAGAGCAGAGCCGTCAAACTGAGAGGCAGCCCCCATCATCAGACCCCCTCCATGGATCCAGAACATCACCTGGAACCAGACAAAAACACCTGCAGGGGTCAGGGTTCAGGTCAGGATCAGGGTTCAGGTCAGGGTTCAGGTCAGGGTCAGGGTTCTGGTCAGGTCAGGGTTCAGGTCAGGGTTCAGGTCAGGGTTCAGTTCAGGGGTCAGGTCAGGGGTCAGGTCAGGGTTCTGGTCAGGGTTCAGGTCCAGGGTTCTGGTCAGGGTTCAGGTCCAGGGTTCTGGTCAGGGTTCTGGTCAGGGTTCAGAGGAGGAAAGTGTTTATTTTGTCCCCTCCCGGGAACAGTAGTTGCACGGTCCTTCCACCTCCCAGTTTCCTCATTCCATCCTTGGTCATGGTTCTGTTCTCTACGTCGTCTTCCATATCGCACTTCCTTCCAAACTTGTTGTTGCCACATTTTATCTGTTTGATTCTGTTTTTTTATTTATGTAACCCAGTAGGCTTTATTACTTATTCAATATTTATTTTAATGAAATTGATTTATGTAAAATCTGTATATGTATTATTCCTATTTATTAAATGCTTATCCTTTTATTTTATTTATTTTATTTTTTTAATGGTTTTTAGATGTTATTATCAACCATTTTTCTTTCACCTCCAAGTCCCATTCTGTCATTTTCCGTTCAGTACGTTTGTGTTT